TATCACGTGACTGCTCGGACACAATGAATGGTGCGCATAGACGCGACACAAGAGCTGGCTTGCCACAAACATTCATGGAGAAGATATCTAAAAATAGACCTGGTATGGAAATTTCCAGAAGCATTCAATTCAGAAAATGCTTAGGCCACAGCTCTGCAGTGTAGAACTTCCAGCACATCGCCTAAAATATATACCGATGTGTAAACATTCAACATGGGAGCCAGGATAGCGTAGTCGGTATAGCGACTGGCTGCGGGTTGGACCACAAAGGGGTCGGAGTTAGAGCCCCGGTAGGGTCAAGAATTTCCTCTTCTTCACGTCGTTCAGACCGACTCTGGGGTTCACCAAATTTCCTATCGAATGGGTACCGGGGGCTGTTTCCCTGGGGATAAAGTGGCCGGGGCGTGAAGCTGACCATTCACTTCCAGCTAGTACCGAGTTCAGGACAATGTGGATCTATATATCCACTCCCCCATACGCCTTCGTGGCATAGTGCTTAATTGGTTAAACACAGGGACAACTTTACCTTCAAACACTCAACATGTTCTAACTTTAAACGAGTCTAATTCGCGCCATATCTTCAAATCGTTTACATATAATTAAGATCATACATCCATTGACAGCGCCACCGGCTAGCATGATAGTTTTCGTGGTTTTCCACAGCCACTTCAGGAAAATGATGGAATGTCATATGGATTAGGCTACTGCCGTCTCTTCCAAATGCTTTCAGATAAATTATTCACCAGTCAAGTAATTAGCAGCATGACACATATTTAACAGACTACACGGCATCACACCCCATTACTCTTAAACATATAACATATTTATGTAAATAATATTAAACGTTATTAGATAGTTCATTATTCTGTTTTCTAACAACATCGTCACTATATAAACAAGTACAAAAATGTAGAATATATTAAAGAAATAACAGATTAAAGTTAAAACTCTGGCTCTGCGCCTTAATTTACTGATACTTTACTTCGCTTCGCTCTGTTTTTATTACTTTAGTGTCTATATTTTAACGTCTCCCTACCCTCTTGCCTTTTTATTATGATAATATTTAAATTGATTTCGGATTAGAGATTCCCAAATTGATGGTTGTGAAGAGTACTATCTTCCGGTATATGACGCCGCGTAGTCCTATGCAAGTTCACTGACGTTTCGGAGGAACACACTGCTTCCATCTTCAGTGTCGGAAAGTAAGCCAAGAAAGCAACTGCTGCTTGCTGCATGTTTTCTTGACTTATTCTTTGACCCTGAAGATGGAAGCTTTATGTTCCTCCAAAAATGTCAGTAAATTTCTACCGGAATACACGGCGTCATGTCGCATAATATTTTCATCCAAATTCACGTTCGGTAAATAGGGTGTGTGTTATTGCTGTATATATATATTTGTTTTGGTACGCGTTTCAAACACAATAATATATAAAAATAACTCACTTTCACTCTGTCGTGTCAACTGAGTTTTTATTTTATTAACTATACAGAGTATACAGAGGACCCTCGAACTTCGAACAGTTTGATGTTCGAACAACTTAAAACTCGAACAAAAAACTCGAGGAAAATCCGGTTTTGAAACTCGAATAAAAACTCGAAAGTCGAACAAAGAATCACGTGGTCGCCTTCTCTCTGCTTGGGAGCACTTGAAGGTTCTGTCAGTTCTCCCTTGACTGGTTCAGTTAGCATCACCATCAAATTCAGTCTGTTTTTAAGCGTTTTATTTATTTCTTTGGCTTATTTTTATATTATCCTTAATAATACCCATTCGTAATGGCACCAAAGAAAGTTACTTGAGGTGAAAAGCCTAAGAGAAAATTCGCAATATCTGCATTAAAAATGAAAAAGAAACTTGTCCCTAAGTGGGAAAGTGGTACACGTTTATCGGACCTGGCTGCTGAGCATCCCTCGCATTATTATTGATTGATTATTATACATTATTTTTATGCGTGTACTGTCTATATAAATAAAAATTATTCAATTACCGAAATTAAATATACTTGTTTTATCATTAATTACCAATATGTTCTTTTGAAATAGGCACTCCAAAATGTTTTATATTCTGTAATTGCTTATTTGGGGGGGGGGGNGACTTTTGAGCGGAATAATTCAGTTTACATTATTTCAAATTGGGAAATTAACTCGAAAGTCGAACCGTCTCCTGGAAAGAACTGTGTTCGAAATTCGAGGTTCCGCTGTACTCAGTTGACACTATAGAGTGAAAGTGAATTGTTTTCATTGATGGTTGTGTTTGACAGGTGTACCAAAACAAATATATATATACACGTGGGTTACTTCAAAAGTCATGGCAAGTATTTTTTATTTTTTTGGCAAACACATTACAGCGAAGAAAGTTGAAAATATACTTATGAAAGGGCATGATATACCCCTCCGATTGGCTTAGTCAGATCAGGTAGATGTGAAGGAGCGTAGGTAAAGTAGGCAAGAAAAATTGCACATTACGGAATGACTGTTTTTTTATTCTTTAATCCTCGAAATATTCAATTGTGATTAAGAAATAAAAAATTCAATGTGAGTTAAATCTGAATTCTTACATTACGACTAGCAACCTTCAAAGTAGTCTCCAAGTGTATCAAGTACTCGCTGCCAGCGATGAGGAAGACGGCGAATACCATCAGCTTCACCATCTCCAAATCTTGTCATCAATTGCCGAACTGCGTTGAAAATGTCCTCTCGTGGTCGAAAGCGTTTCCCTCGCAATGGATGTTTCAATTTGGGTATTAAGTCATAGTCACATGGCGAAAGGTCGGGTGAACATGGAGGATGGTGTAGTACTTCCCATCCCCAACGTCGTAAACGGTTCTCGACACTGTTTGCTGTGTGGGCGGTTGCATTGTCGTGAAGGCCGATGTCATTGTTAAGCAGTTCAGGACGTTTATTCCTAATTGCACGACGTAAGTTATGCACAGTTGCCTGGTCAATCCCTGTATGTCTTTCTAACTCCTTCAGAGACCAGCGCCTATCTTCCTCCATGCACTGGGCGATCACGACACGAGAAACATCGGTACGAACGGACACAGGGCGTCCACTACGTTGCAAGTCGGCACTTGCTTCTCTTCCACGCTGGAATGCTTCTGTCCACTTTGCAACAGTTCTGTATGGTAGAGCACGATCACCCGGAGCTTCCACAAGCTCTGAGTGACATTCAGTCGCATTTATGCCACGAAGCACTGCTATTTTCACGTAACAAAGCTGTTCCAGCCGGCTAACGTTCATTCTCGACGAAGGTTATGATCACACCGACTTCGCGCTGGACTCGCTTCGTTGTCCTTGGACTTCCGCATCATCTAGCGGCATCATTAGAAATCAGACGTTGCTGTCTCTCAGCGGCAAATTTGGAAATTCCGGTCGGAGCTTTGGAAATGTCTGAAAAATTATGTTGCCATGACTTTTGAAGTAATCCACGTACATAGTGATAAACAACACAACAGGATTCATTTCTTGAGATTGTATGTTATTTATTGGATCTGATTGACTCATGGTCCATTTTTATTTCTTCCGTCATGAAGATAGTGCTGAGTTTTTGACTAGTTCAGTAACTATGCGCCGTTAGTGAAGGCTCTGTACTTTTGAATCAGATAGGTGTTATTAAGTTTGGAATCCAGAGGAAACATGTTTTCAGTAATTTCATTAGTCGTCATTGACCTGTTTGAGTTTCACTTCACGATAACTCATTCGAACTTCCAATAAAATGGTAAGAAGAGATGCCTGCCTGCCTATCCGGTTGTTGTCAGACTATGTATTGTATACTGGGACATGTGATATGTTTGACGTCATAGCTGGTGATTGATGCTACTCATCCCACATTATACTTGTCGGAGAAATAGGATCTAAGCAGTACATTGTATATAATATGAGAATATGAGATAACCAGGACCAGATGGTTAATGAAAAAACGCCCATGATATTTTAAATTTCATTGGTACAGAGTTTTACGTTACTTAATTTTAACAGGTTTAAAAACAAAGGTCATAAGTTAATATTCCAGTCCTGCCTCAAATCCAGCACACTGCATGTAGGTTAACAAATGTTAATCAGTCAGAGATAAATGATGTTTCCACATGTTTTTCCTTATATCTTTTCATTACCTAACTCCCAACATTCTAGTGCTTCATTTGCGCATTATCCTGATTTATTTCTCAATGGGTTCGTACATAACGTTTCGTTATCTAAGTATGATTATGTTTTTCGTACAGGTACCTAACATTCTGCCACCTGAGATGATATGCCTATCTTTGTGTTCCTACACAGCTATTCATTATCTCATTTCTCATGCAGGTTGCTAACATTCTTCTGTCTGACACTATTGTGTGATGTCTCTGTATATGTGTTCTCTCACAGCTATTCCTTATCTCTTTTCTCATGCAGGTTGCTAACATGCTTCTGTCTGACACTATTGTGTGATGTCTTTGTATATGTGTTCCCTCACAGCTATTCCTTATCTCAGTTTCCATGAAGGTTGCTAACATTCTTCTGTTTGTCACTATTATGTAATATCTCTGTATATATGTGTCCCCACACAGAATTTCATTATCTCATTTCCCATGCAGGTTGCTAACATTCCTCTGCTTAACACTGTTGTGTTGATACGTCTGTGTGTGTCCCATGTGTCTTTTCATTATCTCATTTCTCATGCATGTTGCTAACCTGACATTATTTTGTGATGCCCCTTTGTGTGTTCCCACACTACTTTTCATTTTCTCAGTTCCCCTGCAGTTTGCTAACATTCTTTTATCTGACACTATTGTGTGATGTCTCTGTATATGTGTGTCCCCACACAGCATTTCATTATCTCGTTTCCCACGCAGGTTGCCAACATTCCTCTGCCTGACACTGTTGTGTTGATATGTCTATGTGTTCAGACACAGCTTTTCATTATCTCATTTCTAATGCAGTCTGCCACCTGACTGTTATGTTGATGTCTTTCTGTGTTCACACACAGCGGTTCATAATCTCGGTATGATTATATTCTCCTGCAGGTTCCTCACATTCTGCTACCTGGCAGCCTTCAACTGTTGGCTGCTGCTGTGTCCCGCTACACTCAGCCACGACTGGCAAATGGGCTCCGTGCCCCTCCTCACCTCTCTCTCAGACTCACGGAACATCGCTACTTGTCTGTTCTTCGGTTGCTGTTTCCTTGTAGCCTACAGGGGCATCGCAGACTTCGAGGTAAGTTTAATACACGTACAGTGGACATTTTAGTCAGTACAACTACTAGGCTACAGACTAGACCATCTAGGGGCTGAGGTCCAGTTCCTGGAAGAGCAAAGAGATTATCCAGTTCGTCATAGCGCTCAGACCATCCCTGGGGCTCACCCAGCCTCATATAGAGGGGGTACCAGAAGTTGTTTCCATTTCGGTAAAAGGGTAGGAGCCTGAAGCTGACCGCTCATCTCTATCTAGTCTTGAGGTTAAGAACAGTGGGCTCTACCTGCACTCTCCCATACATCTTCATTTGGGTTGTGCCTAACGTCTCACAACCCTATGGGCCTTCATGGTCTGGTACAGGGATAGCTTTACTTTTTTTTTTACTTACATTATTTGTAGGATCGAAAACAGATAGTTCGAATTGAAGTTGTAGAGAAAAATGAAATACATATTTTAATGCACTTTATCCTGATAAGTCAAAGGATTTTCGAGGTAATTAAACAAAGCAGTTTTACAAGTATGCTATCTAGAGGCAATAACAAGCGAACACAGCAGAGTTGTTACGCTATGCCTACGTTTCCAAGTCCGTTAGCATTGTCAGTGATGAACCCTTCGGGTTTCATTTCGGCAGAAACCCACATCTTCCGCTTAAATTGTTTCTCATCCCAAACTTTATTTCAAGGCGAGTAAGCGGTTGGCTTTTTGAAGAATACCGATGCATACCGATATTTCAAATAGTAATTCTCAGTTTCACGTGCAGAAATCTGCTGTGTGTTACTGTGTTGCATACCTCCCTTTGCGCGTTTATTGACGAGAACATTGCGTTCTACCTATGTGAACATGAATTTTATAAACGGCAGAGAGAGAGTGAGAGAGGGAAAGGGAGATTCCTTTCCACTTTGACTCCTGTCGACTATGTGAGATTATGGTATGTGTGGTCAGCAGATGTGCAGTGTGTCTGCCTGCGGCCCCGCCACGTTTTCGCTTGTCCGTCCAATGCTGCAGTGAATGTTTCAGGATCGATATTCAGCGCGCAGCGGTGCTGTAGCGACAGGAATACTAGAGCCTTCTACCCCAGTTTTATATCAGTGGCGTGCATCCTCCCAATATCCGCCTTCATTAGCTCAACTATTATTTGTTTCAGTCTGCCCGCGGTAGCGTAGTTGGTTGAAGCACTATGCTACAAGCCCGAAGGTTTCCGATTAAGTCATTGGATTTTTCAGTTGACCTAATTCTTCCAGCCGCATTGTGGCCTGGGGACGATTCAGCCTCTGATAGAATGAGTGCAAGAGATATTCTTGGAGGTAAAGGGCGGCCGACGCGTAAGGCTGACATCCTCATCGCCATCTGCGAGCCGAAAATGTGGGAGCCTCGACGTATCACAACCATATGGGCCTCCACGGCCTGTTACAGGGATAGCTTTAGCTCGTACTATGATTTTAATCCTTTCATCTGCATGAGGAAGGTAGCATGGTTCAAATATGGAGGAAGCAGTTTGGCTTAGGAAGTAATGCATGAGATTTTTATTCGGGATGTAGTTGCTTCGAATCTCGGTCGAGTCACCATGTATCTTGACTGAAGTTGTTCATGGTTTGTCTATCTTCAGGGATAATATTTCGATTTTTTTTTCTTGGCACTACAGCCCCAGTGGGCCTAGGCCTACCTCCATGAACTTCTCCGTTCACTTCGGTGTTTCTAGATCTTACACGTTCGATAGGACTCCTTGGGCGGGCGATCAGCTCGTCGCAAGGCCTCTACCTGTACACAAACAGAAAAACGCACACACATAAACTAAACATCCATGCCCTGAGTGGGATTCGAACCCACGATCCCGGTTTCCAAGCGAGCGAAGACAGTACATGCCTTAGACCGCTCGGCTACCGTGACCGGCAATATTTCAAATTAGTCCACACTATTTCTTCCTTCTACAACCTTTCAAGTTAATCATTCATTTTTATCCCATGTCGAACCGTTGTTAAGTAAAGCGACTAAGCTTCTTTGTGATTCGTTCGGAATTTTTTGAACCCATAGAGAGCCACATAAAATTCTCATATATTTATATAAATATGCTTAAGATTAATGATTGTATGTGTCTGTATAACTAGGAATTCATGTACATAAAGTGCAGATGCTTAACATCGCACTAAATTGGAGATCCCAGTGAGTTTTGTTAGAGGAAACTGCCCAACCGATTGGAATTTTGATGGGTTTACTCAGTCTCTCCAAAACTAGGCTAAGATAGTACAGTGCCCTTCTAAATTCACATTCACAGTCATCCAACTTTTCAATCCTACATAAAACACGAAGATTGTTGTCTGTTGGTATATAACATAACGTAGTCTGGTAGATTCTTCCTGACATTTCGGAGAGACATGCTGTCTCCATCTTCATGACATGTTCCTCAAAAATGTCGGCAAGAATCTACCAGACTCGATTCTGTCTCCGTCCTCCGGTAAAGGGCTATTCAGTGGGGCGCCTCCCATTTCTAGAGCTAGTCTCTCTACACCAAAACCAACGCAAGTTAGGATATATAAATCAAGTGCAATATTGTGATAGATTGGGCCGTTTCTAGAATGCGAATACGTAAACATGTTCCAACCAACGAACATCTAACAATACAAGGGCGTCCAGTCCTAGGTAACACCGGTATAGAAGTACCCCAGCAATAAATGCGCTGCAATATGGCGTCCATTGTTAGGCAGTGCATGGGTTGGCACGCCTGACAACAATACATGATATCCGTTGCTGAGCAACGATGTTTTCTGTGGGTGGTCCGTGCCGAGCCTATATAGGCAGGAGTAAAGGGTGTTCGAGGGGATTCGACAGGAAGACGTCGATACGGGAGAAGACTAATTGTCTTTAGTTCCGCCTAGCGTAATTCTCCAATAAACAGCGTCGTCTAAAGCAACAACCCAGCAATTATTTGTCACGCAACCTCGGACACGTAATAATATTTTCGTCATAGCTCCAACAGATAGTTTATGTTTGGTTTATATATATCATATCTTGCCTTGGCTTTCGTGACTGGAGATATGGACTAGCTCTATCAGTTGAACCAGACTGAGTAAGCTTTTTACCTGAGAACGGCGATAGAGTCCATTTTCCGAAACGCTGTTTTAAATAAAAAATGTGACGCTGGATAATGTCTAAAAAGCAGTCAATGTACCTGACTACACTTAAATCCAGGAAGACGGTAATCTTCACAGTGAGTGACATGAGCGCTTCAGATCTCGTGGAGAGACATTTTCATTAAATGACTCAAGGTTGAATTCGGTTCCTCAATTACATTCCGGACGGCCATTACGAAAACAGAACTTGCGAAATTTCTCGTTTCTGTATTTCTGTCTATCTCTGTATCCTGATCCTTCTCTCCTGCTTTTGCCAATGGCAAGACGAATTAAGTAAGAGATTGCATAACACGAGAAGGAAGAGTAAAGCGGAAGGGACGAGAAACTGTTGCAGAAAGCGTTAGGCGAAGAAAATTGAATACAAAGTCTTCTTGTCTTTGATGTTCTCGAGTTTGCAGCTAGCTTGAGTTGAATTATACATAGAAGACAAGAGGGTAAGTTGGTCCAAGGATGGGTGATGACTTCACTACTGAACAGCGACTTCACTCAACTCTCCTATCCTATTCAGGTTCACTGTGCGGACGCCTTTTCATTTGATTAACAGCGAACCGTTTGTTGAATTATAATAATTTCTATGATGTGTATGATGGTGGTGCATGTTAATTTCAGATTGGAAAGGTGGTTATTGTACCCAACCTTAAGAAACTTTTAAATGGTTTTTAGTTTTGCCCAGCGAAATTAGGCCATAAAACAAGAAGTTGGTATAGCGACGAGATACTTGCTGGGCGGACCGGGTTCGATTTCCAGCAGTGCAAGATTTCTCTCTTCTCCATGCCGTCCAAACCGACTCTGAGGCCCATCCGGTCTCCTATCAGATGGGTTCGGGGGCCGGCAGGGGCGTGATCCTGGCTACTCACCTCCATCTAGTGAGCGTGCAAGAAGGGTTGGGGTATTTCTTCAGGTGTCTTCTTTGCATAGTGCTTAATTATTTAAGCACAGGGACAACTTTACTATACTAGGTACCGTTGAATAAACTTAGTTTAATGAGCGAAACTTGTGTTACGGACATCAAAACAACGACGAAATTTTATAGGGAAAGTAAAGTAACCAACATTAAAAATATAATATTAATATTATGCTGCCTAAACCAGCGGTTCCCACACTTGTATTACACCACACAAAAATTAAAATGGATCTTTAGGAAATGGGATGGGAGGGTGTGGACTAGATTAATCTGTTTTCTTTACAGGGAAATTGCGGACTCTTGCGAATGCGGCACTGAACTTCTGAGCTTCGTGGAGTTGTGGGAATTTCTTGTCCCTATGAGCAACTATTAGTTTTTGAAGGGCTTCCTCCCATATAGTTACTTCGTTATTTAATGTATACGTTAAAGGAAAGAAAGCAGGACACGTACACCAAAAGGAAACATGAAGAATGTGAAGCATGATACACAATGGGAAACAGAGACCCTATCCTGTAAATCAAGTAACTTTAGGAAAAGGGTTAGGAAAGTAATAAATAAGGCGAAGTGAATGTGTGGGGGAAATCATCAGTGAAGGGAAGGGAAGTAAATTGTGTTGAGGATGTGAAGGGTACGTAAGCGTAGTGAAGTGGAGTGGAGGGAAGGTCAGGGTGAAATGTGAGTACTTCAGTTCAAGACATTACGTTTTTCATTGCTGTTACTGTTTAGTGCAGGCATGTCCAACTTCAAACAGTTTCTGATCGACTTTTTAGTGTCAAAATTGCCAGTGATCTACCACCCCCTCGTATCATCGTACCTCGCTTTAAGCAGAATATTGGTAAAAATAACACGACACATGATGTTTGTTGTAAAAGCAACATACATTGAAAGTACAGACTACTTTAACACGTATTTTCCCTTCAAAATCTGAATATAATCATATTATATTACAAGTGAATTTACATGCTTTTCACGTATAATTTCCTTATAGG